AAAAATCAAAATTAAACATCATTACCGATACGTAATCAAGTGAACAAGCTTCTATTATATTCATTCGTTTACTTACAATGTCGAACGTTGTTGAGGCTGAACAACATAAGAAAAAAGGGAATGCTCATTTTAGCAATAAAGATTATAACAGAGCTATCGCAGAATACTCTTCAGCTATCAATAAAGATCCTAAGAATACTGTTTATTATACAAACCGCGCATTATGTTACTTGAAGATCAAAAACTATGAAAATGTTATAGCGGACTGTGAAATGGCTATTAAACAAGACCCTACTTCAGTAAAAGGATATTATATGTTAGGTCAAGCTTTAACGGAGCAAATTGATTTTGACACTGCTATTTCAAATTTACAAAAAGCATATGACCTTACGATTGCAGATAAAGGCAATTTTGTTGCAGAAATCGTTCAGGCTTTATTGAATGCTCGGAAAAAGAAATGGAATTTGGAGGAGAAAAAACGCATTGAGAAGGAATCAGAGTTATTAAGATACGTCAAAGGTTTAATTAACGCGGAACGTGAGAAACAACTTCAAAAAGTTTCACCAAGAACAATGCTTTCAAAATTTGTTACTTCACATCCTCCAGATGTTCAAGCAAAATTGGATATTATTAATAAAGCGCACAACGAAAAACTTTCTCAAATAGAACAAGTATTTGGTCAATCAGACGAAAACCTTAAGCCGCGAGATTTGCCTGATTATTTTATGGACAAAATATCCTTCAATATTATGCATGATCCAGTTGTCACACCATCAGGAATTACATATGAACGAGCACATTTGAAAGAACATTTTAAAAAGATTGGACATTTTGACCCATTATCAAGACGTGAATGCCGAGAAAGTGATTTATACCCAAATTTAGCACTCAAGGAGGCAATTGAAGATTTTGTGAGCAAGAATGGCTGGGCCGCTGATTATTGAGGTTTTCAGTATAAATATGGACAATTTATAAGGTTTGAAATATTTCCATTATGGTGCGATAATATTTGACATATCGGAATAAAGTGTGGTAATGAATTATAAGCGCATCTTTTTTTTTTTTTTTTTTGCAATTAATAATTCAAATTTTAATATTTACACTAATATTGGAATTTCAAATAAAAAAAAAAAAAAAAATTAAAAGATTATGCATAAAACAGAAAAGCTTGCAAATAATTTTCAATTTATTTTCAGACAAAACTGGTCATTATTCTGGCAATTAACAGACAAAATCATATATTAGAATTAACTTTTCACTTTTAATATTAAGAAAAAGTGATCGATATGCAACAATATAACATACATATAGCTAAATTTAAGCGGCAATTCAATCCAAATTTTTAATTTGAGTGAGCTCACTTTAGCTTTCTAACAGCCTTGCGTCCACCACTTCGACCACCCCTGGTTTTGGTACCACTTGAGGTACGGCGAGTAGAAGTAGTAGCAGCAGTAGCAGCAGTACTAGACTTTTGTTTGATAAATTTATCTTTTGATAAATCATCATCGTCGCTAAATTCATCTTCATCTTTGACAACTTGTTCGATTTCAATTGCATCTTCAAAATCAGGAACTGCAGCAACACTACCAGCAGCCTTTGATGATTTAACTGATGAAGCTTTGAGGAACGGCACAGGATGTGATGACGAATTATATCTTATAAAATATTAAAAATTTAAGCCAAACGCGTTAAATCAAATTAATATGAACCATTATGTCTTCTATTTAAGATGTATCTTACTTTCTTGTAAAAGCAGCCTTAACGGGTTTGTCGATCTCTTTTAATATTTTATCACCTCCGATGCTTAATTCCATAATTGCATCCCAGTCTTCCTTGTTAAGATAATATTGGTCCATCAGTTCAATTACTTCAATAATTCCATCCTAAATAGAAATATACATTTCAAACTAATTTATCACGTAAACCAAATTATGAACATAAAATAACACTGTCATACCGCTCCTTTATCGATTAGTGGTTGAGAGAGTGCAGTGAATAATGCAGGGAGATAACTCTGCCGAATTTCATTCTTATCTCCAGAAGTTCTTAATCGCATATGAATTTGTATCTCTTTTAAGATACGTTTATATTTGTTAGTTTTAGAGGTTTGACCCAACGAACTACCAATAATATGAATTTGTGAATGTTTTGCAAAATGTTCATATACAACTAAATTTGGTTATGAAAAATCACTGCTTATACCTTGGAAACGCGTAACGAGCACCGCTAGTGTTAGAACCATGAACATAATATGTTGGAATGACACAAGAAAACATTCCATGGATTGGCATAAGAGTCCATTGTGGCTGAGATCTAAAGTATATACAAAATAAATATGACAATTTATATACCTAATATTCTGACTACGAAAATAAAATTACTGACCCATGAATCATCGCATAACATAAATCGCCATCCGATATAGAGACTGCTGCTTTGCCTAGAGCACCTAGTAGAGCAATTTGCTCAAGATCAACCGGATTTA